TAATACAGGCTGTAATTATCTAAAGAAGGCATTGACTCCTGCCAGTGTCTAATACCAAATTCAAGTTAACTAAAGCCTTGTCTTTAGACCTGGGCAAAGGCAATAATCAAAGTAAACTGCTTTCATGAGACACAAGGACATGCCTATACTAAGAAACATTAAGACAGGCCAGGCACAGTGGCTCACGCCTGTAATCCCAGCACTTTGGGAAGCCGAGGTGGGTGGATCATGAGGTCAAGAGATTAAGATCATCCTGGCCAACATGGTGAAACCCCGTCTCTACTTAAATACAAAAATTAGCTGGGCATGGTGGCGTGTGCCTGCAGTCCCAGCTACTTGGGAGGCTGAGGTAGAATTGTTTGAACCCAGGAGGCGGAGGTTGCAGTGAGCTGAGATCGCGCCACTGCACTCCAGCCTGGCGCCTGGCGACAGAGTGAGACGCTGTCTCAAAAAAACAAAAATTAGCTGGGTGCAGTGGCTCACGCCTATAATCCCAGCACTTTGGGAGGCTGAGGCAGGCAGACCACCAGACCAGCCTGACCAATATGGAGAAACCCCATCTCTACTAAAAATATGAAATTAGCCGGGCATGGTGCCACATGCCTGTAATCCCAGCAACTTAGGAGGCTGAGGCAGAAGAATCGCTTGAACCTGGGAGATGGAGGTTGCGACGAGCTGAGATCGCACCATTGCACTCCAGCCTGGGCAACAAGAGCGAAACTCTGTCTTTAAACAAAAACAAAAATAAAACTACAATACCATCATTCCAACATCTGATCACATCTATAATGCCTGTCCTCCTCTACCCTAACCCTTTTATTCGTTTGTGATACTTTCTGAAGAGACTTAGGTCAGTTGTCTTATAGAATGTCTCACATTCTACTTTTGTGACATTAAACTCATACTCTTATCCCTGTATTTCCTCTAAAATGGAAGTTAAGTGGAGGGGCTAGAATAGATTCAGGTTAAAAATAACTTTTGATGTTGCTGGGTTATAGATGGAGAAAAAATATATATATATGGTAATTGTTGGCAAGAATATATATAGGTGATGCTGTGTGCTTCATACCGTTTCCTACTGCACAGTCTTTGCACTTCCTGTTCTCTTTTTGCCTACAACACTTTTCCTTAGCTCTTCAAATTGCTGGGTCCTTCCCCATTACCCTAACCCAAAGTAAGTTACCCTATTTTTATCAGAACACCTGTTTTCCTTCTTTCATTATATTAATTCCAATCTGTCTGCTCTTCATAGGATGTTAAGTCCCATAAGGGCAGAGCTATTGTATCCCCAGCATTTATAACAAATAATATTCGTTGAGTGAACCACCACTTATTACATACTCATTGAGCATATGCATTGTTCCCGACACAAGGCCTAGTTACCACAGCATTTAATAAATATTTGCCAGATAGGTAAGTAAAGAAGTATATAGCAAAGAAACCTTCCTTGTGACTGGAGTGAAGCACACCCTCCAAAGGCAGATTACAGAAGAATTTACTAAAAACCCAGAAACCACAATTTCCTCCAGAATTCATGTGAAAATTAAACTACAACGCTTCATCATAAGAACTACAGGACACAAGACAAATACCTCAGAAAAAGGCAGTTCAGACCTAAATCCAGTGATCCACTCATTCATTATATTTGACTTTCTAATTTGTGATGATCACCTTTGCCATCCTGAAACTCTCTCTACTCCTAATTCTGATAGGACCACCCTCTCCCAATTCTTCTCTTACCCTTCCAACCACTCTTCAGGTTTCTTAATGTGCTCTTCCAAAATGTCGTCTTCCAAAGCCAACCTCTCAATGTCAGTGTGTACCAAAATCCTACCTTTGGTCCTCTTCTCAGCAGGAGGTGCCCCGACTCCCAGCTCATGATCTCCCGAAGCTTCCACTTCCACTTCCACTTATTTATTTATTTTTTTTGAGACAGAGTTTTGCTCTTGTTGCGCAGGCTGCAGTGCAATGGCATAATCTCGGCTCACTGCAACCTCTGCCTCCTGGGTTCAACCGATTCTCCTGTGTCAGCCTCCTGAGTAGCTGGGAATCCAGGCATGTGATACCACGCCTGGATGATTTTGTATTTTAAGTAGAGATGGGGATTCTCCATCTTGGTCAGGCTAGCCTCGAATTCCCAACCTCTGGTGATCTTCCCGCATTGGCCTCCCAAAGTGCTGGGATTACACGTGTGAGCCACTGGGCCCAGCCAGTTTCCACCTCCACTTTTAAACCAAGTTCGAAATCCCTGTTGTCAAAACATCTTGCCTCCTGGACATCTTTACCCAACTTTCTCTTTAAACCAGTTTCTGCTGTCTTTCCTATATTTTTTTTTTCCAGACAGTTTCACTCTTGTCGTCCAAGCTGGAGTGCAATGGCACGATCTCAACTCATTGCAACCTCCGCCTCCCGAGTTCATGCGATTCTCCTGCCTCAGCCTCCCAAGCAGCTGGGATTACAGGCACCTGCCACCATGTCCAGCTAATTTTTGTATTTTTAGTAGAGATGGGACTTCACCACGTCGGCCAGGCTGGTCTGAAACTTCTGACCCCAGGTGATCCACCCACCTGAGCCTCTGAAAGTACAGGTATGAGCCACCACGCCGGGCCTATCTTCCCTATTTCAGAGTTAATGCCATCACCATTCACCTTGTCTTGAAGTCAGCCATGAACATTCTCCTCCCCAATTTAGTAAACTGATCTTTATCTGTTACTCCAAATTGGTTCCTGCTGACCACCTCCAGTAAGTTTTCATTTACACCCTCATCACCTCTCACTTATAGATTACTAAATCTTTGAGAACAAGAACTCTTACTTATCTTTGAGTCTACAGCAAAGTACACGGCACACAGCATGCTCTCAAATGTTCCATCTAACATTTTAAACTTCAGTTTTCTAGAGGATCTGAATTAGTTTACAATAAATTCAACAAAATAAAAGTAAAACAATCTGGACTAGAAATATACAAATTTATATAGAAAATGGGGGAAGAAGCCAGGTGCAGTGGTTCACACTTGTAATCCTAGCACTCTGAGAGGCCAAGGTGGGAGGATCACTTGAGCCCCAGAGTTCGAGACCAACCTGGGCAACCTAGCAAGACTTTGTCTCTGCAAAAAATTCCAAAGATTAGCCAGGTGTGGTGATGTACACCTATGGTCCCAGCTACTTGGGAGGCTGAGGTGGGAGGATCTTGAACCTGGAAGTTGAGACTGCAGTGAGTTGTAGTAATACCACAGTGCTCCAGCTTGGGTGACAGAGCAAGACCCTGTCTCAAAACAAAAACTGGGGGAAGATGAATGCAATAAGAAGAACCCAAAGAACCTTTTGGCATGTCAGCTACCTGGAATCCTAAATAAAGCAAAATGAGTAATTACATAATTTTCATTGTCCTTGAAGAGAACACTCAAGGATATTTGAAAAGCAAAGTAATTCTTTTTAAAAATAATTTTATTTTCATTTTCTCCTCTACTACTCATTCGAGAAGGAAAGCGAAGTATTTCTGAAACTTGGCTTCAAGAATGAATATTTCTACAGCTTTAGGGACTGGCCTTTAGGCTTTGATTCAAAAACCAGAAAGGCTGGCAGTAATAGTGAATAGTCTATAATGTCTCTTCTAACCATATCTTGACTCCAAATGTACTGAAATGGGGAGGAATAAAAGCATAGAGAATCTCATTCTGCTTGTTCCATGTAACTTTGCACTTTATCAAACAGAATCCCCAGGCCTATCAGAATATATTTAAATCATTAGTCTGATCTCTTCTCTGATACTCTGAATCATTTTTCTATTTCCCTGATCTATAAGCTACGTCTGAGTACTACTACCAGAGATAATATGTTATTACAAAAGCAACCCATTTCATTTCACACAGTTCTAATTACTAAGGTTTCCATCACTGTGAATAAGACCTACATACGAGTAACTTACATGAGTCCCATTTGTTAGATTTGCTAGATGTGATTTTCAAGATAAGATAAAGGCCGGGCACAGTGGCTCACGCCTGTAATCCCAACAATTTGGGACACTGAGGCAAGTGGATTACCTGAGGTCAGGAGTTTGAGACCAGCCTGGTCAACATGGTGAAACCCTGTTTCTACTAAAAATATTTTAAAAATTAGCCTGTAATCCCAGCTACTTGGGAGGCTGAAGCAGGAGAATCACTTGAACCCAGAGGGTTTCAGTGAGCTGAGATTGTGCCATTGCACTGCAACCTGGGCAACAAGTGCAAAACTCCATCTCAAAATAAAAAAAATAAAAAAGAGAGAAGCTAGAATTGTAGATTTTATATATACAGTCAACTGTTTAATGTTTGCTCAATTTTTGAAAAATATATTAGTCCCTGTAAGACACATCTGCTGTAAGCCAAGTGTGACCTACAGACTACCAGTTTGGTGCCTCTGATTAGATTCTGTTAATACAACTTAAATGGCATAAGTAATCCTATCTCTTTGTGCAGACTTTTGCCAATAGTGTCCTATTGGCAAAAAAGTCCTATTCTTTTTTTTCCTTTGGCAACAGGTTTATTGAGATGTAACTCATTGGAGAATGATAGTGGATTAAAAAAAAAAGATATAACTCATATACCATACAATTAATACATTTTTGGTATATTTGGTACAATTTTTAGTATATTTAGACCTGGGCAATCATCAGCACAAACAATTTTAGAATATGTCCATTATCCAAAAAAAAACCTACCATAACTCTATGGCCAGGCATGGCAGCTAATGCCTGTAATTCCAGCACTTTGGGAGGCCAAGGCGGATCACTTGAGCCCAGGAGTTCAAAACCAGTCTGGGCAACATAGTTGGACCCTGCTTCTTAAAAAAAAAAAAAAAAAAAAGGCCGGGCGCGGTGGCTCAAGCCTGTAATCCCAGCACTTTGGGAGGCCGAGGCGGGTGGATCACGAGGTCAAGAGATCGAGACCATCCTGGTCAACATGGTGAAACCCCGTCTCTACTAAAAATACAAAAAAAATTAGCTGGGCATCGTGGTGCGTGCCTGTAATCCCAGCTACTCAGGAGGCTGAGGCAGGAGAATTGCCTGAACCCAGGAGGCGGAGGTTGCGGTGAGCCGAGATTGCGCCATTGCACTCCAGCCTGGGTAACATGAGTGAAACTCCGTCTCAAACAAAAAAAAAAAAAAAAAAAGCTGGGCGTGGTGGCTCACACCTGTAATCCAAACACTTTAGAGGCCAAGGTGGGTGGATCACCTGAGGTCAGGAGTTCAAGACCAGCCTGACCAACAGGGTGAAACCCCATATTTAAAAAAAAATTTTTTTAAATAAAAAAGGCTAGGCATGGTGGCTCACACCTATGATCCTAGCACTTTGGGAGGCTGAGGCAGATGGATCACTTGAAGACAGGAATTTGAGACCAGCCTGGCCAACATGGTGAAACCCCGTCTCTATTAAAAATAAATTAGCCAGGAGTGGTGGCATGTGCCATAGTCCCAGCTACTGGGGAGGCTGAGGTAGGAGAATTGCTTGAACCTGGGAAATGGAGGTTGCAGTGAGGTGATTGTGCCACTGCACCCCAGCCTGAGCAACAGAGCAAGACTCTTGTCTCAAGGGAAAAAAAAAAAGTAAAAAAGAAAATAAAATTTTAAAAAAAGAAATCCCATAACTATTTAGCTGTCACTCCCAATGCTCACTCACCTAAGCTGTAAACAATCATTAAGGTATTTTCTGTCTCTACAGATTTGCCTGCTCTGAACATTTCATTTAAATAGAACCATACAATATATAGTCTTTTTTGACTGGCTTCTTTCACTTAGCACAATGATTTTGAGGTTCATCCATGTTTTAATATACATCAGTACATTCTTTTTATAGTATTTTTTTTTTTGAGACACAGTCTTGCTCTGTCACCCAAGCTTGAGAGCAGTGGTGTGGTCTTGGCTCAGATGCAGCCTTCCCCCGGACCAGGTAGCTGGGATTACAGACACGCACCACCACATCCGGCTAATTTTTGTATTTTGAGTAGAGATGGCATTTCACCATGTTAGCCAGGCTGGTCTCAAACTCCTGGCCTCAGGTGATCCACCTGCTTCGGCCTCCCAAAGGGCTAGGATTGCAGGTGTGAGCCACCGCGCTCAGCCTATTGCACATTTTATTTATCCATTCATCAGTTGATGGGCATTTGGGCTGTCCCTACTTTGGGGTTCATTTTTCATGCTGTGATGAATTATGCTGCTACAGATGTTTACATACAAAATTTTATGTGGACATACACTTTCACTTCTCAAGTATGATAACTAAGAATGGAATTGCTGGGTAATAATGTAACTGTTTACAGTAAACTGAAACTGTCAAAGCAACTGTCAAAGTGTTTTCCTTTTCCTTTTTTTTTTTTTTTTTTGTTTCTTTTAAAAGAGATGAGGTCATATCATATTTCCCAGGCTGGTCTCCAACTCCTGGGCTCAAGTAATCCTTCTACCTCAGCCTCCCACAGTGTAGGGATTACAAGCATGCGTCACTACGGCTGGCTAATTTTTACATTTTTTTGTAAAGAAAGCGTTTTGTTATGTTTCCCAAGCTGGTCTTAACCTCCTGGTTCAAGTGATCTTCCTGCCTCAGCCTCCTAAAGTGCTGAGATCATAGGCATAGTCACTGTACCTGGCCAGAATTTCTTAGAGAGCAGATTTCGTGGTAACAAACCCTCTATACTTTTGTTTATTTGGAAATATCTTAATTTGTCCCTCATTTTATAAGGACAGTTTTGTTAGCTATAAATTTTTTTTTTTTTTTTTGAGACGAAGTGTCACACTGTCGCTAGGGCTGAAGTGCAGTGGCGCAATCTCAGCTCACTGTAACCTCTGCCGCCTGGGTTTAAGCAATACTCTTTTGTTTTTGTTTTTTTGTTTTGAGACAGAGATTCACTCGTTGCCCAAGCTGGAGTGCAATGGCGCTATCTCAGCTCACTGCAACCTCCACCTCCAGGGTTCAAGCAATTCTTTTGCCTCAGTCTCTCAAATAGCTGGGATGACCAGCACCCACCGCCACGCCTGGCTAATTTTTGTATTTTTAATAGAGACAGGGTTTCATCATGTTGGTCAGGCTGGGCTGGTCTTGCACTCCTGACCTCAGGTGATCCACCCGCCTCGGCCTCCCAAAGTGCTGGGATTACAGGCGTAAGCCACGACGCCCGGTCTCAAGCAATTCTCTTGCCTCAGCCTCCCCAGTAGCTGGGATTACAGGCACCACTGCATTGGCTTATTTTTGTATTTTTAGTAGAGACGGGGTTTCACCATGTTGGCCAGGCTAGTCTCAAACTCCTGACCTCAGCTGATCCACCTGCCTCGGCCTACCAAAGTGCTGGGATTACAGGGGTGAGCCACCATGCTGATGCCGCCCGGTAAGATATAGAATTCTTGCGTGATAGTTTTTCTTTCAGCATTTTCCATTTTTGTTTTGTTTTTGAGACAGGTTTCTGCTCTGTCACACAGGCTGGAATGTAGTAGCGCAATGAAAACTCCTCGCAACCTCGACCTCCCGAGGCAATCTTCCTACCTCACCCTCCCAAATAGCTGGAACCACAGGCACATACCACTACGTCCAGGTAATTTTATTTTTCTTTGTAGAGACTAGGTCTTGTGATGTTGCCCATGCCCAACTCCTTGGCTCAAGTGATCCTCTGGCCTTGGCCCCCCAAAGTGCTGGATTACAGGTGTGAACCACTGTGCCTAGCCTCTTTCAGCACTTTGTTATCCCACTGCCTTCTAACTTCCACGATTTTTCTTTTTTGTTTTTTTTGTTTGTTTGTTTTTCTTTATTGTAGCTGGTATATAGCTACCGTGATTTTTCTTTTTAGGGCAACAAGATCTTGCGCTGTCACCCAGGCTGGAGTACAGTGGTGCAATCATGGCTCACTGCAGCCTCTACCTCCTAGACTCAAGCAATCCTCTTACCTCAGCCTCCCGAGTAGCTGGAACTACAGGTGTGCACCACTGCACCCAGCTAATTTTCATATTTTTTGGAGAGATGAGGTTTGAATATGTTTTCCAGGCTAGTCTTGAACTCCTGGACTCAAGTGATCTGCCTGCCTCAGCCTCCCAAAGTGCTGGGATGTCATGTGTGAGACACTGCACCCAGCCAAGCCATGCAACCACTTTAAAAAATACTTTGGCCAAGCGTAGTGGCTCATGCCTGTAATTCCAGCACTTTGGGAGGCCAAGGCAGACGGATCACCTGAGGTCAGGAGTTTGAGGCCAGCCTGACCAGCACAGAGAAACCCCGTCTCTACTAAAAATACAAAATTAGCCAGGCATCGTGGCACACGCCTATAATCCCAGCTACTTGGGAGGCTGAAACAGGAGAAGCACTTGAACCCAGGAGGCAGAGGTTGTGGTGAGCTGAGATTGTGCCACTGCAGTCCAGCCTAGGCAACAGAGTGAAACTCCATCTCAAAAAAAAAAAAAAAAAAAAAAAATTATAGGGACTGGCAGGTAGTTAGTCACTTGAAGGTTGTCACCTCAAAGGAAAAACAACCCCATTTCAATCAAACGTATTGTTTGAGTCCAGGAATTCGAGGCCAGCCTAAGCAACATGGCGAAACCCCATCTCTACTAAAAAAAAAAGTACAAAAACTAGCCAGGCATGGTGGCACATGCCTGAAGTCCCAGCTACTAGGGAGACTGAGGTGGGAAGACGGCTTGAGCCTGGAAGGTGGAGGTTGCAGTAAGCTGAGATTGCACACTGCACTCCAGTCTGACCAACAGAGTCAGAGCCTGTCTCAGGAAAGAAAAGGAAGAAAGAAAAAGAAAGAAAGAGAGGAAGGGAGGGAGGAAAGGGAATCAAAGACAGGAATATCTAGCATTGACCGAAGGTAGCTATGCTGGATAGACCACCAACAGACACGCTGGAAGTGGTGTGGTACTGGTGAAAAGCGCTACAATACAAAGACAGATCTAATTTCCAGTACTACTACTTAATAACTGTGCAACTTGGGTGTTACTTACTGCATCTCAATTTTTTTTTCTTTCTTTTTTTTTTTTTAATTTTTATTTATTTTTTAAAGATGGGGTTTCACCATGATGGCCAGGCTGGTCTTGAACTCCTGACCTCAGGCGATCCACCCACCTCAGCCTTCCCAAAGTGCCAGGATTACAGGCGTGAGCCACTGCGCCAGGCTTTTTTTCTTTTCTTTCTTTTTTTTTTTTTTTTGAGACAGTCTCACTCTGTCACCCAGGCTGGAGTGCAGTGGCGCAATCTCGGCTCAGCTCGGCTTACTGCAACCTCTGCCCCACCAGGGTTCAAGTGATTCTCTTGCTTCAGCCTCCTGAGTAACTGGGATTAGAGGTGCCTGCCACCACGCCCGGCTAATTTTTTTTTTTTTTTTTTTTGTAGAGACAGGGTTTCACCATCTCAGCCAGGCTGGTTTTGAATTCCTGACCTCGTGATTCACCCACCTCTGCCTCCCAAAGTGCTGGGATTATAGGTGTAAGCCACCTCGTCCAGTGTATCTCAATTTTCATACCCTTACCCAGACTATCTCAGAGTCACAATGAAGACTGAATGAGAATATATACTCAAGTACTTTGTATTTTGTAAACAGTAAAATGCAGCCGGGTGCAGTGTCTACTGGACAATTGGATCAGTTCACAATGGGACCATAATAAGGCTGCTCATATTCTGGTAGCATCTTCACTGGACTGTGCTGAACAGTAATCACTCTAGGAAACAAAGCTAAATGTATAAACTGGGTGGTGGCTGGGCATGGTGGCTCACACCTGTAATCCAAGCACTTTGGAGGCCAAGGCGGGCGGATCACCTGAGGTCGCGAGTTCAAGACCAGCCTGACCAACATGGTGAAATCCCGTCTTAAAAAAAAAAAAAAAAAAGGGCCGGGCGCGGTGGCTCACGCCTGTAATCCCAGCACTTTGGAAGGCCGAGGCGGGTGGATCACGAGGTCAAGAGATGGAGGCCATCCTGGTCAACATGGTGAAACCCCGTCTCTACTAAAAATACAAAAAATTAGCTGGGCATGGTGGTGCGTGCCTGTAATCCCAGCTACTCAGGAGGCTGAGACAGGAGAATTGCCTGAACCCAGGAGGCGGAGGTTGCGGTGAGCCGAGATCGCACCATTGCACTCCAGCCTGGGTAACATGAGTGAAACTCCGTCTCAAAAAAAAAAAAAAAAAAAAACAAAGAAAGAAAAAGAAAAAGAAAAAAAAAATAAACTAGATGGTTTAGCTAAAGGCCACCTGGAGAAAACTATCTCCTGTACATATGATTATATATATAAATCCTCTAATTTCCTAATCCCAAGATATATATATATAATATATATAAAATATATATATATATATAAGTCCTGGTTCTTCTAGTTTGCTAATTCTGATTCTCTCTTAGGATCTGCTAGTCCTTTGGCCCTTGAGTGTATATGTAAATACAATGCTGAGATCTATGGAAGGGAGGTAAGAGGTGGAAGGGAGACACAAGAGAAGACTAGGATAACTATAGTCCAAAGAGTTTCTCCAAAAGAAATTTTCCAACTATCTCTTTTGAAATAGAAG